AAGGATCAGCCGATGACGGCACTGGAACGCGCCATCTGGTGGACGGAATACGTGTTACGCCACAAGGGGGCCAAGCATCTCCGAAGCCCATTTCTGGAGATCCCCACCTACCAGTATTTTCTGCTGGATGTCATTTGCGTTTTGCTTCTGATCCTCACGGTATTATCATGCGTGGCGTATGTCCTTTTTAAGCTGGCACTCAGGCTAGCTATACGGACTTGTGCTCTCGGACGCAAGAAACAGAAGGACCAATAGAGTACCGTTCCGTGGATAATTAAGTGTCTATAATTGGTAATGGTACTTATTTTCAGTTTGCGGACGATCGAGGACTATGACGCACCCATCACGTTTCTTCTGCAACAGTTAATCCAGAAACTAAACCTGCTCCGTTAAATTCCTTAGGCTAATCTGGCGACACGTGGGATACCTACGACAGAGACCTTCCATGAACGTCTTCCAGCAACTTTCAAACACCCAAGAAATGAACGAACTCTACAGACGATTCGGACCCTTCGACCTTTTTCTCCAGATAGCTTAGGTATCCCCTCAAGATATCTTTCGAAGAGTTTCTCTAGAAATCCAGCCAAAGGCTCTTCAGGCGACCGACAACCTCCAAGAAACTGTTTCACATTACACTGACACAGTTTGGCACCTTTATATTAAATACATAATACATACCCATCGCCTTGCAGACGTCCCGGAATAACCCGAAATTCCTGCCTTGGTCCGAATAAATGCGGAGCTCCAGATCCCTCACTAAAATCTCCGCGATGCCTTCGACCCATTTGCTGAAGTAGTCCATCACGACCGTAATGTACTTGTTTCCTCCACCAGTTTCTGGGAATGGTCCAGCTATTGCAACTCTTTCGAAGGGGCTTCCAACGCTGCGTTTGTTGCATGGGTGCTTTCAACTGGCCTTTCTGCTAACATCATCTTTGAGATTGACACAGTAAACCTTTTCGCCTACTTCTCCCAGAGTTCCCAAGTGCCAACCGCCGTTTCCATCAGATGGCTCTCTCAGCACTTGTGTAACTTTTATTCTAGGAACCAAGAGCTGTTGCTTCCGGCCATCTTTGTTTCGTAGGGTTCGCTTGACGGGGCCATCATCGTCTCTAGTAATAGAATGCTATTACGCCCATTAAGATTGTAGAGACTGTGTTCTACAGGCAACCTGTTTCCGTGTAAGCCGTTCCCATCTTCTTTTCAAAGACCAGATCAGGAAAATATATACGGCGAAACGGTTACGTTCTTTAAATCTCTGCGCTCCTGATACATTTAAAAATTTTATATTAAGAAGAAACTAAAGTCTCGATTTGGTATCAGGAGAATATACAAAAAGTAGAACCGATCTAGCTTTTTGCTCCTGATACATTCAAAAGTGTTATAAGAAGAAACCCAAACCTTATATTATCACTTATATTTGCACTTTGTAGGGCCCTAATCGAAAAGGTAAGAAATTGTCTAACTTGGCATGGAAAAAATTCATTGCTAGGTATGCTCTCCTGATAGTTTCAAAAAAAACTTCCAATAATAACCCAGAGGCACATTCTGGCACTTTGCGAACCTCAAGCACGTATGAAACGAAAGGTCCAAATTGATAGAGCCTAAGATGTTCTCCTGGTATTTCAAGGATGCTTGCACCAAATCGTACCCGACGTGAGGAAGAACTCTTCACTTAACATGATTTCCTTATATTGCAAGTAAATTCCGTACGTATTTCAATAAACACTCCAGTGTATCAGGATAGTAGAAATTCAAAGAAATAAAAGGTAATGATATTAAGGAAACTTGGCTGCAATATACGAAGAGGCCTTTTCTAGTTCTGTCAGAATTATTTCAAAGCTTTCATTGGATTTAAAAATTTGCCAATTCTGTATCAGGATCATATGATGTGCGAGTAGGCGTTTCTTTTTCTAATACTACACCTGTTACCTGTCGATAAACTTATGTAAAAGGTGTCGTGCTACTAGGAGAACATAATATGCAAAGAGGTCTTTTTCTAGCTCTGTCAGAATTATTTCACAGCTTTCATTCGATTTAAAAATTTGCCATTCTGCATCAGGAGCATGTAATGTGCGAGGCGGTGTTTCTTTTCCTAATACTACACCTGTTACTTGCCGACAAACTTATGTAAAAGATGTCTGGCTACCAGGAGAAAATAATGTACGAAGAGGTCTTTTTCTATATCTGTCAGAATTATTTCAAAGCTTTCATTCGATTTAAAAATTTGCCAATTATGTATCAGGATCATATGAGTGCGAGGAGGTGTTTATTTTCCTAATACTACACCTGTTATTTGTCGTCAAACTTATGCAAAAGGTGTCGTGCTACTAGGAGAACATAATATGCAAAGAGGTTTTTTTCTAGCTCTGTCAGAATTATTTCACAGCTTTCATTCGATTTAAAAATTTGCCATTCTGCATCAGGAGCATATAATGTGCGAGGAGGTGTTTCTTTTCCTAATACCACACCTGTTACTTGTCGACAAACTTATGTAAAAGATGTCTGGCTACCAGGAGAAAATAATGTACGAAGAGGTCTTTTTCTATCTCTGTCAGAATTATTTCAAAGCTTTCATTCGATTTAAAAATTTGCCAATTATGTATCAGGATCATATGAGTGCGAGGAGGTGTTTCTTTTCCTAATACTACACCTGTTACTTGCCGACTAATTTATGCAAAAGGTGTCGTGCTACTAGGAGAACATAATATCTCTCAAATATTGCATGCTACCCAAACTTTTACAATAATTAGTTGTATTAGAAGAGTCCCTGGTAGAGTCTGAACAAGGCAAAAACAAGACACGGGAAATAGGAGTCTTGTAAGCGGGAATTCAAAACCGAAAACGGAAAACTGAATCATAGATATAGAAAAACGGGAGGGGACCACTAGTCGAGCAGCTTAAACTGAACCGTTAGACATTGGTAGGTAGAAATAGGCAAGTGGTAAGTGAATGTTTTACACCCTCTGAAACGCATGTGCTCCTGATACTTTTAGTCAAGAGTTCCTGAATGCAAGGCTTTGTTTGTGTGTTCCCTTGGTTTTTTTAAACCGGATACAATAGTTTGTTAAAAAAAGATGTTCGCCAGGAGAACATAATGCGGATACATCACCTTGCGTTTCTGTTGTCCTGATACAATCACCTCTGAAGAAGATCGACGGTTCATTGGAGAACGACGTTAGTAGGTTTTTATCCTGATGTGAGCAGGTTTCTCTCCTTTCTTACACTCTTCTCCTGCCGTGTCCCGTTTCTGTGCCCTCCTTCCCCAATCGTTCTGAACTGTCCTCTTGATTTCTGTCCAAGCCCCTCCTGGCCTCTCTAGTAATCCAGTAACTCCTCCCATCTCTTCTGCGCTCCCATGCTCACTTCTATTACTTCCAGCCTTTTTATGGCCCCTTTTGATATCTCCTATTCCCCCCCCCCTCCCCCCTCCCTGTAGTACTATACATATCTTATGACCTATTACCTTCCACCCTCTCCTCTTCTTTCCTGTTTTCTCTTATCCTCTCATGATCTCTCCTTTCCTACGTACTTCATCCTGCTTTCCTGTGCTGCCTTTTTCTTCGCTCTTCTTTCTCCATCCTCTCCTGTTCTCCCACTAGTCTCCGCAGACCCTCTCACAACACGTTTTTCTCGGAAATGCACGTCCCTATCGCTCCTATCCCTCGACATACCTTCATACACGTTTACTATGAAGCGGTATATGTGTAAATTTCCCCGTGTTGAACGAAATCCGCAAAAAATCAACGGGTGGGGATGTTAGGAGCTCATATTATTGAACCCCTTTTTATGGAGTACAATTTGACAGGAAAACGTTATTCCTATTTCCACCCGTTCCTTTGGAATTGGAGCCACCTGTGTCTCAGCATAAGGCTCCTTTCTCAAAACCTGGACTATTCTTACAGGCTTCCTTGTCCCGGATCACCACTTTAAGGGCTTATTGTCATGTAGCCTGAAATCCTGTATATGTATTCCTCCCACCTCACTTCGGGACAATCTGATTGCTCCCCTCGCTGCTTCCTTCTCCTTCACTAAGCTAAGAAAGAGGTGGCCCAGCCAGACCTCCAAGGTCCAACTTGGCATGGTAAAAATCGCTTAGTATGCTCTCCTGATAGATCCAGAGAATATTTTCAGCAATAATCCTTTAAATAAAAACCAACTTCAAGCACGTATGGAAGACAACTTGATATAGGAAAAACCTCTTCGCCAAATATGCTCTCCTGGTAGTTCAAAGATGTTTGCACCAAATCGTACTCGACATGAGGAACCGTTCTTCACTTAACCTGATTTCCTTATATTTCAAGTAAATTCCGTACACTTGGAGTTGCAACTTAAGAACTTTTCGGGTTTATAGTTTCCTGGTATGAAAAGTATCCCAATAAACATACCAGTGTATCAGGATAGTAGAAATACTAAGACATAAGAGGTAATGATATTAAGGTAACTTGGTTGCAAATATTATATGCTATCAAAACTTGAGTTTTTATACTCTTCTGATACCACAATCTATCCATAAAATTATTTCCTGTGCCAGGGACACAGAAACGCAAAAAAGATGATAGTTGAACAACAAAACGCTTTACGGGTTTTCAGTTTCTTGATCCTTGAACTGAATTGTATAGCGTTCTCTGAACACCTGCGATAAGGTTAACAATACCAGGAGAACAGAAAGGAAGTGCGGTTCACTTGAGCAGCAATTCGTGCCAAAGTATCAGGAGCAAAAAGGGAAAATTTTTCCGTTTAGGTTAGGTGCTTTCTAAACACTCAGATCTCTAGAACATACTTTTTTGAAAGGAAACAATCATATTAGGAGTGCATAAATTCAACCCTCGCCGTAATCGTACCAGAAGAAAGCGTCGTTCTATATTTAGATCAGAAGCAATTCCTCTGTCGTCATTTAAATACGATAACAAAAAACTACTGATTCTGCAGTTTTTGACCATGACCTGACCTTGTATGCGCCCAGCATTTTATCGATTAGCTATCAGGTTGATAGCCACGCAATGATTAAAGTACTAGTTAAGTAATCTCATTTCGTTGCAATGTTCGTACCGTTTGTGGTATTTTGGGCGTTAATTTCGGGTGGAAATTGTGCCAGAATACTGGGAATTATTGCATTTCCATCCTACAGTCACCAGATCGTGTTCCAGCCGTTGTGGCGGGAGTTATCGCTACGTGGGCACCAGGTGACCACACTCACGACCGATCCGATAAACGACGCCAAGCTGACGAACCTAACGGAAATAGACCTTCGCTTTTCGTACGAAGTCTGGCGGTCAGCTTTGGCGGAAGTAATCGATGGCAGCCAAATCCATTTTGTCAAAGTGCTCAGGACGGCGACGTTGGCTATGCAGGAGATTTCGCGACGGCAGCTAGCGCATCCTAGTGTGCAGGGTTTGATACACGGAGACGTTTCTTTCGACTTGTTGGTCGTGGAGTACTTCCAACCCAGCATGTTCGCCTTCGCCGAGAGGTTCAGGTGCCCGCACATCGGGGTGCTCTCTTTGGACGCGCCGAGTAACATCTTGAAGCTAATCGGTCAGCCCATTCATCCGGTGGCCTACCCGGACTACATGCTGTCCTTCACGGATCACTCCACGTTTTTTAAACGGATGAAAAGTATCGCGTATTCCTTGTATGCCGAATATGTGTTCAATTACTATTTCTACTCCCTCCAGCAGGAGCTCGTCGAAACGGCTTTCGGCTCGAATTATTCATCTTTGGCGGAGGTAGCAAAAAATGCCAGCCTCTTTTTCACAAATTCCGATCCCATACTTTACAAACCCAAACCGTTCCTTCCAAACGTCATCCCAATAGGCGGCGGATCCGATCGGTTTCCATCCGCTCCACTTCCAAATGTAAGTACCAAGCTTCCTGAAGCACCCCCAGTAAGCCGGTTTTCGCAGAAACTAGTTGGAGTATTAGACGCAGCGTCATCTGGTGTCATCTACTTCAGCCTGGGAACGAACGTCAACACTGAAAATTTACCAAACGAGACGAGGAAGGCGATTCTGGAAGCGTTCGCCGAGTTTCCCTACACGGTGCTGTGGAAATGCGACTTCGATCACGTACCAGACAAGCCTAAAAACGTCCACGTCTCCAAATGGTTCCCCCAAAAAAACGTGCTAGGTATGTATGCACGCGTGTTTGGTCGATGATGACTGTGTCTTCCAGGTCATCCCAATGTCAAGCTATTTATAACCCAAGGAGGCCTACAATCGGTGACCGAGGCGATTTTGGCCCACGTTCCCATGATAATCATACCGTTCTTTGCGGACCAGTTCGGCAACGCGCAAAGGATGCTGGAGAGAGGCGTCGGACTGTCGCTCGACTACACCAATTTGCAAAAGGAGGAATTTAAGTCCGCGATAAGGGAGGTTATAACTAACCCCCGGTAGGAAAAATTACAAATTTCGGTCATGATACGTGCTCTTCCAGGTACAAGCAGAAGGCCACCGAACTGGCAGAATTGGCTAAGGATCAGCCGATGACGGCACTGGAACGCGCCATCTGGTGGACGGAATACGTGTTACGCCACAAGGGGGCCAAGCATCTCCGAAGCCCATTTCTGGAGATCCCCACCTACCAGTATTTTCTGCTGGATGTCATTTGCGTTTTGCTTCTGATCCTCACGGTATTATCATGCGTGGCGTATGTCCTTTTTAAGCTGGCACTCAGGCTAGCTATACGGACTTGTGCTCTCGGACGCAAGAAACAGAAGGACCAATAGAGTACCGTTCCGTGGATAATTAAGTGTCTATAATTGGTAATGGTACTTATTTTCAGTTTGCGGACGATCGAGGACTATGACGCACCCATCACGTTTCTTCTGCAACAGTTAATCCAGAAACTAAACCTGCTCCGTTAAATTCCTTAGGCTAATCTGGCGACACGTGGGATACCTACGACAGAGACCTTCCATGAACGTCTTCCAGCAACTTTCAAACACCCAAGAAATGAACGAACTCTACAGACGATTCGGACCCTTCGACCTTTTTCTCCAGATAGCTTAGGTATCCCCTCAAGATATCTTTCGAAGAGTTTCTCTAGAAATCCAGCCAAAGGCTCTTCAGGCGACCGACAACCTCCAAGAAACTGTTTCACATTACACTGACACAGTTTGGCACCTTTATATTAAATACATAATACATACCCATCGCCTTGCAGACGTCCCGGAATAACCCGAAATTCCTGCCTTGGTCCGAATAAATGCGGAGCTCCAGATCCCTCACTAAAATCTCCGCGATGCCTTCGACCCATTTGCTGAAGTAGTCCATCACGACCGTAATGTACTTGTTTCCTCCACCAGTTTCTGGGAATGGTCCAGCTATTGCAACTCTTTCGAAGGGGCTTCCAACGCTGCGTTTGTTGCATGGGTGCTTTCGACTGGCCTTTCTGCTAACATCATCTTTGAGATTGACACAGTAAACCTTTTCGCCTACTTCTCCCAGAGTTCCCAAGTGCCAACCGCCGTTTCCATCAGATGGCTCTCTCAGCACTTGTGTAACTTTTATTCTAGGAACCAAGAGCTGTTGCTTCCGGCCATCTTTGTTTCGTAGGGTTCGCTTGACGGGGCCATCATCGTCTCTAGTAATAGAATGCTGTTACGCCCATTAAGATTGTAGAGACTGTTATCTACAGGCAACCTGTTTCCGTGTAAGCCGTTCCCCATCTTCTTTTCAAAGACCAGATCAGGAAAATATATACGGCGAAACGGTTACGTTCTTTAAATCTCTGCGCTCCTGATACATTTAAAAATTTTATATTAAGAAGAAACTAAAGTCTCGATTTGGTATCAGGAGAATATACAAAAAGTAGAACCGATCTAGGTTTTTGCTCCTGATACATTCAAAAGTGTTATAAGAAGAAACCCAAACCTTATATTATCACTTATATTTGCACTTTGTAGGGCCCTAATCGAAAAGGTAAGAAATTGTCTAACTTGGCATGGAAAAAATTCATCGCTAGGTATGCTCTCCTGATAGTTTCAAAAAATACTTCCAATAATAACCCAGAGGCACATTCTGGCACTTTGCGAACCTCAAGCACGTACGAAACGAAAGGTCCAAATTGATAGAGCCTAAGATGCTCTCCTGGCATTTCAAGGATGCTTGCTCCAAATCGTACCCGACGTGAGGAAGAACTCTTCACTTAACATGATTTCCTTATTCCGTACGTATTTCAATAAACACTCCAGTGTATCAGGATAGTAGAAATTCAAAGGAATAAAAGGTAATGATATTAAGGTACCTTGGCTGCAATATACGAAGAGGCCTTTTCTAGTTCTGTCAGAATTATTTCAAAGCTTTCATTCGATTTAAAAATTTGCCCATTGTGTATCAGGATCATATGAAGTGCGAGAAGGTGTTTATTTTCCTAATACAACGCCGGTTACTTGTCGACAAACTTATACAAAAGGTGTCGTGCTACTAGGAGGACATAATATACGAAGAGGTCTTTTTCTAGCTCTGTCAGAATTATTTCAAAGCTTTCATTCGATTTAAAAATTTGCCAATTCTGTATCAGGATCATATGAGTGCGAGGAGGTTTTTCCTTTCCTAATACTACACCTGTTACTTGTCTACAAACTTATGCAAAAGGTGTCGTGCTACTAGGAGAACATAATATACGAAGAGGTCTTTTTCTAGCTCTGTCAGAATTATTTCAAAGCTTTCATTCGATTTAAAAATTTGCCAATTCTGTATCAGGATCATATGAGTGCGAGGAGGTGTTTATTTTCCTAATACTACACCTGTTACTTGTCGTCAAACTTATGCAAAAGGTGTCGTGCTACTAGGAGAACATAATATACAAAGAGGTTTTTTCTAGCTCTGTCAGAATTATTTCAAAGCTTTCATTCGATTTAAAAATTTGCCAATTCTGCATCAGGATCATATGAGTGCGAGGAGGTGTTTCTTTTCCTAATACTACACCTGTTACTTGTCGACAAACTTATGTAAAAGGTGTCGTGCTACTAGGAGAACATAATATACGTAGAGGTCTTATTCTATCCGTGTCAGAATTATTTCAAAGCTTTCATTCGATTTCAAAATTTGCCATTCTGTATCAGGATCATATGATGTGCAAGGGGGTGTTTCTTTTTCTAATTCTACACCTGTTACTTGTCGGCAAACTTATGTAAAAGGTGTCGGGCTACTAGGAGAACATAATGTACGAAGAGGTCTTTTTCTATCTCTGTCAGAATTATTTCAAAGCTTTCATTCGATTTAAAAATTTGCCAATTCGGTATCAAGACTCTATGATGTGCGAGGAGGTGTTTCTTTTCCTAATACTACACCTGTTACTTGTCGATAAACTTATACAAAAGGTGTCGTGCTACTAGGAGGACATAATATACGAAGAGGTCTTTTTCTATCTCTGTTAGAATTATTTCAAAGCTTTCATTCGATTTCAAAATTTGCCATTCTGTATCAGGATCATATGATGTGCAAGGAGGTGTTTCTTTTTCTAATTCTACACCTGTTACTTGTCGGCAAACTTATGTAAAAGGTGTCGGGCTACTAGGAGAACATAATGTACGAAGAGGTCTTTTTCTATCTCTGTCAGAATTATTTCAAAGCTTTCATTCGATTTAAAAATTTGCCAATTCGGTATCAAGACTCTATGATGTGCGAGGAGGTGTTTCTTTTCCTAATACTACACCTGTTACTTTTCGACAAACTTATGTAAAAGTGTCGTGCTACTAGGAGAACATAATATACTTGCAAATATTGCATGCTATCAAAACTTGAGTTTTTATACTCTCCTGATACCACAATCTTACCATAAAATTATTTCCTGTGTCAGGGACACAGAAACCCAAAGAAGATGCTAGTTGAACAACAAAACGCTTTACCGGTTTTGAGTTTCTCGATATGAAAGGTAAACACTGCACTGTATCAGGAGAATAGAAGTTCAAAGGTATAAAAATCTCTTGCTCTCCTGGCATTAAACCCTTTTTTACAATAATTAGTTGTGTTAGAAGAGTAGAGGCAGCTCTCCTGAACAAGGCAAAAACAAGACACGGGAAATGGGAGACTTGTAAGCGGGAGTTCAAAACCGAAAACGGAAAACTAAATCATAGATATAGAAAACTGGGAGGGGATCACTAGTCGAGCAGCTTAAACTGAAACGTTAGACATTGGTAGGTAGTAATAGGCAAGTTATAAGTGAATATGTAATGTTTTACACCCTCTGATACACATGTGCTCCTGATACTTTTAGTCACGGGGGCCTGAATGCAAGACTTTGTGTGTACCTACCCTTGATTTTTTTAAAACGGATACAATAGTTTGTTAAAAAAAGATGTTAACCAGGAGAACATAATGCGGATACATCACCTTGCGTTTTTGTTGTCCTGACACAATCACCTCTGAAGATCGAAGGTTCATTGGAGAGCGACGTTAGTAGGTTTGTATCCTGATGTGAGCAGGTTTCTCTCCTTTCTTACCGTGTCCTGTTGCTGTGCTCTCCTTCCCCAATCGTTCTGCACTGCTCTTTTGATTCCTGCCCAATCCCCTCCTGGCCTCTCTAGTACTTAATCCATTATGAAGTGTGGTCTCTGTAGAAGGTCCCTTTTGGTATGTATGTTGGTTGGTGTGAAGGGAATTATTCCCTGCCCTACTATTCTCTCCATCGTTTCAAGGATGAAGGGCGATAGGTCGGTAGCTCTTGGGTTGGTTCCTGGACCACATCTATCTGCCTCCAGTGCCGATATAGCTTAGGCAGTAGTTCCCCGTTCTACTAGAATGGGCGTTAGTGCCTCAGACCCCTTTAAACTTTGGTGTTTCATTCCATGACGCAGTACTACTAGATAACATCATCGAAATGCTATTTAAATTGCATTGTCACATTCGAGTAGCTCAGTTCAAGATTTGGAACCGAGTGATAAGCCACCGATGGATTTAGTGCTCATAATTTTCCTTACGGCCATTACCGGATGCCATTCGGCGAGAATCTTGGGGTTCATTTCCGTTCCCTCCTACAGTCACCAGGTGGTGTTCCAGCCCCTGTGGCGGGAGCTCTCCTTACGCGGGCACCAGGTGACAACGTTGACGACCGATCCAATAAACGATCCAGGATTAGTGAACCTGACCGAGATCGACTTGAGCTTCTCGTACCGCGCCTGGAAGGAGATGCTGGGAGTGTTTAAGCACACGAACTCGGATTTATTAAAGCTGCATTACTTAATAATGGCGTCGGTGGAAATTTCGAAAAAGCAGCTGGAGCATCCCCAAGTACAGGATCTAATTCGTAACGGAAGTAATGGATTTGACTTGTTTATAGTGGAATACCTATCGTCTCCCGCGATCGCTTTGAGTAGGAGATTTGATTGCCCCTACATTGGAGTGATCTCGATGCCGGCATCGGAACCCTACTTCTCACTACTTGGCAGCCCTACGCATCCAGTGCTGTATCCCAGCGATGTCTTGGGAATCAAAAACTGCGTGACGTTCTTCGACCGTTTCAAAAGCGCCGTGTTTTCCGTTCTGCACGAAATGTACTATTCCTATTACATTCGCCTTGGGGAAAATGTCATAAAGGGAGAGAATGACCCATCGCTACGTGACGTCATGAACAACGCCAGCCTCCTGTTTATTAACTCCGATCCAATCATACAGAAGGTAAGGGCAATGGGCCCTAACATAATCCAAATCGGGGGAGGATTGCATCGCGTAAGCGAAGAGCCACTTCCAAAGGTAGTTAAATGCGATGATTTTCCTTCGCTATCTCACAAATTTCAGAGGCTACAAGAGCTGCTCGACGCCGCCTCCGAGGGCGCTATCTACTTTAGCCTGGGATCGAACTTGAAAAGCGACGATCTCTCGGAGACCACCAGAAACGCGATCCTCTCGGCGTTCGCCGAACTTCCCTACACGATCCTGTGGAAATTTCACTCGGACCACCTGCCGAATAAGCCCGACAACGTACACGTTGAGAAATGGTTTCCGCAGCTGGCAGTTTTGAGTATGCAACGGAGGAGGAGACAGTTACTGAAATGTTGAGGTTTTAGGCCATCCCAACGTGAAACTCTTCATAACCCAAGGAGGTGTGCAGTCTCGCGAGGAAGCGATCCACTCCCACGTCCCGATGGTCGGCATGCCGTTCGTCGGCGATCAGTTTTACAACGTGGAGAACATGGTGGAGATGGGATTCGGCCTGTCGGTCCTTCCCTCGAAATTGCGTACGGAAGAATTTAAAGCCGTTATCGTTGAGGTCGCCGAAAATCCTAGGTAGGCGGGGGGTGATCGAACAAAAAAACTGTCTCTTTTTTGCTGTAGGTACAGAGAGAAGATTAAGGAGGTGGCAGAGCTGTCGAAAGATCAACCCATGACAGGTTTGGAACGGGCGGTTTGGTGGACGGAATACGTCATACGTCATGGGGGCGCCACACATTTCAGAAGTCCACTGCTGGATATTCCGTTCTATCAATACTACTTCCTGGATGTCTTCGCAGTTCTTGTGATACTTCTGCTGGCGCCTTTGTTTTTTGCATACCGTGCGATTATATTTCTATGGAGACGTTGGCATGTATCGTTTGGTTCCAGAATCAAAAAGGATTGATATTAATTAAAAAGGTTTAAAGAAGTTTTCTCTTTTATGTTCCTGCGATCCTGTTACAACATTTAAAATCAATAGGGAACACCTTCTTGACCCTCATGAGATACTAATATAACATTATCGTGTACCACTAAAACCTAAAGATGTGGAAACTGCGTCTGCGGTCCTGATACAAGAATTTTTGGGACTAATTTCTCACCCTCTTGTGGCCTAGACAGAAATTCTTAGGTGGAAAAATTCTGAAAATCAATTTTCTTTTTGACATATTCCCTTGCGTTCTTGTTATTTTGATACAAATTTTGTGAGGAGTATCTGTACCAGGAGTACTTTCCCCGTGATTTTTACGATTGCCAAGATGTAGTGGTGGTTAAAACGTGAAGGTCGCGAAGACACGAAGAAGTTAACTTAATTACACTGCAGTTGTCTGCGTGCCTAATACAGAAATTTTTGGAAAGTATCAGGACGACATAAAATAACTGAAATCTACTGTACACCATCTTAGCCTTATGAGGCACCGGTTCAACAAGGTTTTACAGCAAGTGCAAACCACAAGAGAAAATTTATGTCATCTCATCATCTTCTTGTGGCCCTAATAACAATTTTTTAAAGAATCATCAGAAAACATAACAGATAAAATTATTTTAAAATAAGATAAGAGTTTCCCAAGCACTCTCAAGGTAATCTCCTAAAATAGGTGCTGAGTGGTACTTTATACCTGCCAATTCATTGTCTGATGCTAAGTTTTCTCCCAAAACCTTCAGTTACCATGACACTCGTGATAGTTTATTGGAAATGACAATCAAATTTCCCTTGCTTGAGGAGTATTCCCTACGCCACAATAGCTTGGTGCTAGATTAGATAGCACTTCCATTAAATTAAATTCTAACGTTTTTTTACGAACGTATATCCGGGGAGTCTGAAGGTATAGAATACCCCTTAGAAAAAGTATTCTCCAGCTAATTAAGATTCAATTACCCCTTCCCAATTACAACAAATACTCACAAAGGCATTTCCCCTAAAACTGCCTAATTGATGATAGCACCGGGGGTTCTAGGGGGTATGGAATACCTCCCAGAAGAACACTCTCCAACAAATTAAGATTCCATTACCCTTTCCCAATTACCACAAGCACCCTCAGGGTGGTCTCCGAGATAGTATGATTGAATCTACCTGCGTACGGGGGGGTATTCCATACCCCCCAGACCCCCCGGTGATACGTTTTCTTCCAAAATCTTCAGTACTCAGGATACTTGTGATTCAGATTCTATTACCCTTTCCCAATTACCACAAGCACCCTCAGGGTGGTCTCCGAGACAGTATTATTGAATCTACCTGTGTACTGGGGGGTATTCCATACCCCCCAGACTCCCCGGTGCCACGTTCTCTTCCAAAACCTTCAGTATTCAGGATACTTGTGATTCAAATTCTATTACCCTTTCCCAATTACCACAAGTACCCTCAGGGTGGTCTCCGAGACAGTATTATTGAATCTACCTATGTACTGGGGGGTATTCCATACCCCCGAGACCCCCCGGTGCCACGTTCTCTTCCAAAACCTTCAGTACTCAGGATACTTGTGATTCAAATTCTATTACCCTTTTCCAATTACCACAAGCACCCTCAGGGTGGTCTCCGAGACAGTATTATTGAATCTACCTGTGTACTGGGGGGTATTCCATACCCCCCAGACCCCCCGGTGCCACGTTCTCTTCCAAAACCTTCAGTACTCAGGATACTTGTGATTCAAATTCTATTACCCTTTCCCAATTACCACAAGCCCCCTCAGGGTGGTCTCCGAGACAGTATTATTGAATCTACCTGTGTACTGGGGGGTATTCCATACCCCCCAGACCCCCCGGTGCCACGTTCTCTTCCAAAACCTTCAGTACTCAGGATACTTGTGATTCAAATTCTATTACCCTTTCCCAATTACCACAAGCACCCTTAGGGTGGTCTCCGAGATAGTATGATTGAATCTACCTGCGTACGGGGGGGTATTCCATACCTCCCAGTCCCCCCCCAGACCCCCCGGTGATACGTTTTCTTCCAAAATCTTCAGTACTCAGGATACTTGTGATTCAGATTCTATTACCCTTTCCCAATTACCACAAGCACCCTCAGGGTGGTCTCCGAGACAGTATTATTTAATCTACCTGTGTACTGGGGGGTATTCCATACCCCCCAGACCCCCCGGTGCCACGTTCTCTTCCAAAACCTTCAGTACTCAGGATACTTGTGATTCAAATTCTATTACCCTTTCCCAATTACCACAAGCACCCTTAGGGTGGTCTCCGAGATAGTATGATTGAATCTACCTGCGTACGGGGGGGTATTCCATACCTCCCAGTCCCCCCCCAGACCCCCCGGTGATACGTTTTCTTCCAAAATCTTCAGTACTCAGGATACTTGTGATTCAGATTCTATTACCCTTTCCCAATTACCACAAGCACCCTCAGGGTGGTCTCCGAGACAGTATTATTTAATCTACCTGTGTACTGGGGGGTATTCCATACCCCCCAGACCCCCCGGTGCCACGTTCTCTTCCAAAACCTTCAGTACTCAGGATACTTGTGATTCAAATTCTATTACCCTTTCCCAATTACCACAAGCACCCTTAGGGTGGTCTCCGAGATAGTATGATTGAATCTACCTGCGTACGGGGGGGTATTCCATACCTCCCAGTCCCCCCCCAGACCCCCCGGTGATACGTTTTCTTCCAAAATCTTCAGTACTCAGGATACTTGTGATTCAGATTCTATTACCCTTTCCCAATTACCACAAGCACCCTCAGGGTGGTCTCCGAGACAGTATTATTGAATCTACCTGTGTACTGGGGGGTATTCCATACCCCCCAGACTCCCCGGTGCCACGTTCTCTTCCAAAACCTTCAGTATTCAGGATACTTGTGATTCAAATTCTATTACCCTTTCCCAATTACCACAAGTACCCTCAGGGTGGTCTCCGAGACAGTATTATTGAATCTACCTATGTACTGGGGGGTATTCCATCCCCCGGTGCCACGTTCTCTTCCAAAACTTTCAGTACTCAGGATACTTGTGATTCAAATTCTATTACCCTTTGCCAATTACCACAAGCACCCTCGGGGTGGTCTCCGAGATAGTATGATTGAATCTACCTGTGTACTGGGGGGTATTCTACACCCCCCAGACCCCCCGGTGATACGTTCTCTCCCAAAACCTTCAGTACGCAGGATGACTTAAAATAGCTTCTACACAACGGCACTTTGGATTGGATTTTTTGATGATTGATTGGAAGTACAGCCTGGTTCCGGATTATCTGTATTTACTAACAGTATTCTTTGTCGCAATTTCGTTAGTATTACTTACTACTATAATGCACTCTTTTTATAGTTTTCCAAGATTGAAATTTGAACTTTATCATGTAATATTTCCACTAGGGGAAAACGGCGATTTTCCAGAAAATCAGTGGTTCAAATTTTGGACACTAATGGTCGCCTGGAATCTGATTAACTTCTAAACTCGAGATTTTCGAACGCAAAATTCAATTATTTATGCTCAAAGGCCGCTTTCCGCTCGATGCCTAATCTCGTGCAAAACTAGAAGTCATTTTTTAATGCCTATTTAATGGTGGACTAGTAATGGCTCAGGCTTTTATACCGGTTTTTGTAAATCAAAACTACCGGTAATGACATATACAATCTTATCCATTTCAAATTACATAATATAAAGCGCTGGATTTAGGGAGTACGTACATGTACATTCCTGGTTCATGTAACTCCGTACATTTGTTCATTGTACGTACATTTTTTTACATTTTATGTACGCGGGACAAGTATGTACGTCTGATGTACGTTCTACTTATAACGTACATTACATATGGTGTATGTCGTATCGTAACAATTAATGGAGCGTACGATCGCATATCATCGGTATGTAGAATATGTACAGGTACGTAGCGCTAGATTTACGGACGTACATTTCACGTACACTTACGGTTTATGTACGTACATGGTACGTGCACTACAGTGGACATACTTTACCGTACATACTATGTACGTGAGCAACAGTAAGTCTAATGTACGTACGGCAAAGTACTTGTCTAGCATGTACAGAGTAGTGCAGAAATGACGTACTATGTATGTAAAATGTACGTCCGTAATTCCATAAATTTTGGGACGTTCAAAATTTGAAGCGCATCGATAAAAAAGTAAAGGAATTTCTGTAAAAATAATTATTAAAATATTTGCTGTCTCTTGTTAATAAAATACACAAGTTTTGATTAAAATTTAATATTCCTTGTCTACATAAACAAACTTCGGCACTTAATAATGCAGGGTTGGTTACAACACGACGTTCACTACTACCTACATAAAGTTCTAAAGCCACTGCAACCATTGGAGATGGAATGACTTATGACACACTCTGTACATAAGAATTATAATTACTCTAGACGTGATTAACAATATTGTCGGATTCCAAAACCCGCTGGCTGATGTTACGAAACTGTAAGTCGGCCTTCTCGAACCGATCGACGAACTTAATTACACTATCCGCCGTAATCTCGACACCGTAATCCATAATGGCGAATCTATGGTTCGGAATGTCCACCGCCACCAATAACGGCACAACGTCGTCTAAACCGATAAGATCCCTTAAAATGTCACTCGTCTCCGTGTCCACGCCGACTAAGAACTGCAGATAGTGGTCGTCGCCGGACGTGCTGACGAATTCCTCCTGCGGCGCGTTGAAGTTGATGTTGTAACGTTTGTAGTAGGCGTCGGCCGCCGGCGTCAGTACGGATTCGCCGAACTGCACCTCGGTCTCTTCCGCTTCTGGAAAACGGTCGGTTATTACGCTTCGATCGGCAACCGATCGGGCCTTACCAACGAACAGGATGATCGCGGGGTAATCGTGAAGCTTCGTCGCGAACCGCTCGGTGAGGATGTTGACCGCGCGCGGTTTCCATGGAAAGTTCTAAAACAGCGGTGTTAATTTTTTGGGTCTCGGAGGAGGTCGGGCCAAACCTGCGCGACGGGATCTTCGGCCAGCTCGGTTCGCGCGTCCATCGTGATCAGGTGGCCGTTTCTGTCCAGCAGGAGGAGGGTCGGAATGCCTCGAATTCCGTAGAGTTGGGCGAGTTCTGCCCGTATCGATATTTGCTGCCACGGGATCGCCAGCCACGGCATGCCCTCCACGTAGATCGAGTACGACTCGGCGCTCCTGAAACAGTTAAAATTAAATGTCTAATGGGGTGAAAAGTAGACTTCGCGACGTGACACTAAACGTACAGGGATAAAGTCTTTTAATTTATTTTCATACGTTTCTCGCAAATAAACAAAATTAAATTTCCGTAACAGCGGGACATTCCAGGGCAATAACGACGCAATTTAAAAGGGCGCGTAATGAAATAAGACATTTTGTTTTACTGCCCTGAGAAATGCTTTGTTACTAGAGAATCACACGAGATAGTCCTAGATTTCTTAAAAAACATCTCGATGGATTCCCCAAAAAATATCTTCAGCGGAATTTTGTTTTAATTTTTTCATTTAATGTGTTGCGGAATACATTTTTGTTATTGTCAATCAATTAATTGTATGTTTATTCAAACCCATTGTGCGACCCGGATAGAGTGTTGTCAGATTGTTCTTTTCGAATCAAAATGTGCGTAGTAAATTCTTTGGCATTTATTTGGCGCTCAACGTGGCCCACGGCAATATTTATTTGGCACCCAACGTGGGGCTACGGCAAAGCAAAGTTGACTATTTTTTTCCCTGGATGTTTGTTGACATCTTTTTTCTTATTCTGTTTCTTTTTTATTTGCGTGTCTTGTTCTACATCTAGATCGACCTGTCGTCCATTCTCTCTTTCTATTAATCTAGTTTCTCCTCTTGTTTATTTCAATTTATCTTTCTTTCCTTCCTCCTTTCCTTCTCTCCGCAATTTTGATGTATTTTAGTCGTTTTTTTCTCGGTTTTCGTCTGGCTTGGTTTTTTTCTCTTCCGTCTCCGTCACGTCGACCTTTCTAAATCTGTTCGTTGTCTGTCCTGTTAATCCCTTCGATCCTCCCCGCGCTCTTCTTCCAGTTCTTCACACCGCGGTTTCCCGTTAATTTTGTAATTTGTGCCCCCTTGTACTTTCTCCCCTGGTTTTTTGTCTGGTTTCTCTTTTTAGTATTCTCAATTCTCTGGTTTTTTAAATACAATTTTCTTGTTTCACATTCTTCGCTTACGTTTCGGTGTCCGCCGCATCCGCTTTTATAGTATTTCTCATCTTCCGGTTTCTCCTCGCGTTCTTCCCATAGTTCTTCATTTTGTTTTCCTCTTCGTCTGCCTTTCGTTTTCCCACTAATTTCGCCTCTTTTTCTAATTAACGTGCGATCGTCTTCTCTTTCTTCTTCCACAATGGTTCGTTCCTACCTCCATTCCTCCTCTCTTTATGTTTTTCCGTATCTAAGTTTTCTTGTTTTCTATTTTTACCTTTCTTTACCACCGCATCCATCACAGTTTCTTGATCTTCTTGATTATTTTATCAATCCTGCTCTTCCCACTCCTTTCGTCACTATTTTCATGCATTTACTCATCGTCTTCTCATTCCTTTTTTATTTCACCGTCTCCTTTCTTCTTTCGTGTCCCCTCATTCAATTCTTCGTTTTGATTTACTACCGTGTTTTTTTGAGATATTTCTCGTTCCCCCATGCTCATTTCCACATTCCCGCACTCTTTCTTCCTTTTGCACTCTTGTATCTGTCTTCGTTCGTCTTCTTTTTCTTCCTCTCTTCCCTTTTATTTTCCACTCATCATTTTGCTTATACTTTCACGCTTCATGTTTCAAAACCTCCGCAGTTTTTTGTCTATTTCTAATCTTCGAAATTCAGCGCAATACCAGGATTTGAAGTTCAGAAGAATTCAAAAAACCAAAAACTTCTGAAAAATCACCAAGCAAGTTACATTTATGACAGTGAACGTAAACAATTGATTTTATTCCTATAAGTTTCTATGTCAGTATAATTAACTCTTTAGAAGCGCTGACAATTTTACTAAAAACAAATTGTACTAAATTACAAGTAGCCTGGTTCCGTTAGTACCCTTTTATCCGAAGTACCATAAGTTAGTCTTGGTCTTGGTTAGAGGTAGTTCATCCATTGACCCTTCTTTCCGATAAGCCTACCTCCTCACAACGCGAGCCGGCGTTCTAGTGGCAATCATCCCAGACTTCAGTCTATTCACAAGGAAAGATCTTATGGATCTGAAGAATCGAAAGAAAGGAAGAATTCAGGAACCTGAAGGATACGACAAACTGAAAGAATTCGGCAAGCTGAAACACGAAACCAGAACGAATAAAAGAATCGGAAATAACTAAAACAGTGGTTCTCAACCTTTAAGACGCTGCGATCCCCTCTTTAAGTTGAGACATGTTCTGCTACCTCCCAGAGAGCCACCACCCAACAGTTCCGAACCACTGCTAATAATTTTCAGATAATTTTTGTATGGAGTAGTCCCCAGAAAAAAAGAAAAGTTTAATGCACATTTCCCTACACATACCATAAGAACTTCGATCGCTGGGGGGTATTCCATACTTCCCAGACCCACCGGCGCTGCATTCTTCCTCAAAACCTACCGCCCTAAGTATTCTGCCATAGTTCTTCATAGAAGACACTCTATCTTTCTTAAAATTTTGATATAAGTGCCATGAGTACTAAAAATTTCGGCGAGGGATACAGAACCGGGGGGTCTGGGGGGTATAATACCCCCCAGGAAAAAAGAAATATTTAATGTACATTTCCCTACACATACCCTGAGAACTTTGGTCGCTGGGGGGTATTCCATACCCCCCAGACCCCTCGGTACTGCATTCTTCCTCAAAACCACCAGCCCTAAGGGTTCTACCATAGTTCTTCATAGAAGACACCGTACTTTTCTAAAAATTATGATACAAGTGTCATAAGTACTAAAAATTTCGGCGAGGGATGTGGAACCGGGGGGTTTGGGGGGTATGGAACACCCCCCCAGGAAAAAAGAAAGGTTTAATGTACATTTCCCTACACATAACATAAGAACTTCGATCGCTGGGGGGTATTCCAGACCCCCCGGTACTGCATTCTTCCTCAAAACCTACAGCCCTAAGGATTCTGCCGGGTCCGTTAACTTGGCCCCGCCACTGAGAGATTTCATAGTCGTATTATTTTGAAATGAATGCGCTCGTTATGCGCTCATATGCGCCACCGATAATAACTCTTGCGCCATTATCGTTTTTTAGAAATCCGAAAAAACATTGGGGGGGCCAAGTGAACGTAGCCCCCCCCCCCAGTACGTATTTTGTCCCTTGTAACTAGGTCACCTGATACATTTGGTTATGCGCTCAATTGCGCCACTTGAATTAAAGCTAGCGCCATTACGGTTAAGCCGTGACAAATTTTCAAATAGTGGGGGGGGGGGCCAACTTAACGTTTTTAAAAGTTACTTTTTTTTAACATCTTTTCATACGAATTTGTACTCTCAGGTATAGGCTGAAATGCGCCGTAAAAAGATATCTTTGCGCCATTATTGTTTTTTGGATATCCTTAAATATATTTGGGGGGGCCAAGTGAACGGAATCCCCCATAACGCATTTTGCTACCGGTATTTGTGCCACTTGATACATCTGGTTATGAGCTCAATTGCGCCACTTGAATTAAAGCTAGCGCCATTACGGTTAAGCCATAAAAAATTTTTAAAAAGTGGGGGGGGGGCTAACTTAACGTTTTCAAAAGTTACGTTTTTTAACATGTTTTTTTTTACTACATCGTACCTTTCATCATGCGCTAAAATGCGCCGTAAACAAAAATCTTGGCGCCATTATAGTGTTTCAGAAACACTCTACAGGGTGTTTTTTTGGGAGCTTTAGTTAAACGATTCTGGGAAAGTAAAATAGGTAGGTTTTTAAAAATTTGTATTTAGGAGTTACTCCGAAGGCCGAATCGATGTAAAATATTATTTCAAAATGGACGCACTTCCGGAAATAACTTTTGAAAACGCTAAGTTAGACCCTCCACTTTTTAAAAATTTTTTAAAAAGCTTCGGGGGCATAACATAACGTTTTTGAAGCGTAGTTTTTTACTGCACTACGTACATGTACTTTTCCAAGTGTCATAAGTACTAAAAAAATGTGGAACCGCCGTACACATAACATAAGAACTTCGATCGCTTGGCTGCTTAAAGTGTTTCACACTATACAGGGGTTTTTTTAGTACGTAAACTTTACAGTTCAAACGAATTCTTTTAAAGTGAGGCCAACTTAACGTTTTTAAAAGTTACTTTTTTTTAAACATTTGTATTTAGGAAAGTTACTCCGAAGGCCGAATCCCCCATAACGCATTTTGCTACCGGTATTTGTGCCACTTGATACATCTGGTTATGAGCTCAATTGCGCCACTTGAATTAAAGCTAGCGCCATTACGGTTAAGCCATAAAAAATTTTTAAAAAGTGGGGGGGGGGCTAACTTAACGTTTTCAAAAGTTACGTTTTTTAACATGTTTTTTTTTACTACATCGTACCTTTCATCATGCGCTAAAATGCGCCGTAAACAAAAATCTTGGCGCCATTATAGTGTTTCAGAAACACTCTACAGGGTGTTTTTTGGGAGCTTTAGTTAAACGATTCTGGGAAAGTAAAATAGGTAGGTTTTTAAAAATTTGTATTTAGGAGTTACTCCGAAGGCCGAATCGATGTAAAATATTTTCAAAATGGACGCACTTCCGGAAATAACTTTTGAAAACGCTAAGTTAGACCCTCCACTTTTTAAAAATTTTTTATGGCTTAACGTAATGGCGCTAGCTTTAATTCAAGTGGCGCAATTGAGCTCATAACCAGATGTATCAAGTGGCACAAATACCGGTAGCAAAATGCGTTATGGGGGATTCCGTTCACTTGGCCCCCCCCCCCAAATATATTTAAGGATAACCAAAAAACAATAATGGCGCAAAGATATCTTTTTACGGCGCATTTCAGCGCATACCTGAGAGTACAATTTCGTATGAAAAGATGTAAAAAAAAAGTAACTTTTAAAAACGTTAAGTTGGCCCCCCCACTTTTTGAAAATTTGTCACGGCTTAACCGTAATGGCGCTAGCTTTAATTCAAGTGGCGCAATTGAGCACATAATGTATCAGGTGACCTAGTTACAAGGGACAAAATACGTACTGGGGGGGGGGGGCTACGTTCACTTGACCCCCCAAATGTTTTTTCGGATTTCTAAAAAACGATAATGGCGC